AGACAAATGAATCGTTGATAACGGCATATTCTTATGAAAATCTCGAACATTTTTTTTTTTTAAAAAGAGGTACTTGTACCTGAAATCGACATAGATAAGCAGGTAGATAATACTTGAGAGCGCGAGACAACTCTCTCTAAGAAAACTCGATAAAATAGCTCGGTTGCTTCAAGGAAAGGAAACTCAACAAAACTGCAGTAGCACGAGATAACTCTAGATTGGATGCTATGTCCTAGGGTGAGGCTGGCAATTCTCTATTAGTCAGCTGGCTGTATTATAATAAAGAAGAAAAGATTCTCTTGGTACATTTTTGTATAAACAAATACTAATTATTCTCAATTTTCTATTTTCCAATTAATAAGAAAATAAATCCTCCTTTGTGAAGTTGAGTCAAAATATAGACAGCTGAAAATAATAGATATGTTTTTGTACGTTAAATCAAACAAGATTCACGTAACAATGAAAATCCCAATACAACAAAAAAAAAAATTAGGGAAAATTGCAGTAGCGGTCCCAAACCTGCAAACTTTACCTTAACCTTCAATTTGTACCACCAATGGTCCCAAACATTTGAAAAATTAGCACGTAATGTTCAAATCCAACCATTTAATTGTTAGTTGACAAATAAAATGTAGGGATAATTGCAGCAGCGATCCCAAACCTATCGTTTTTTTGCAAACTTTACCTTAACCTTCACTTTGTGCTACCCACAGTCCCAAACCTTTCAAAAATTAGCACATGGGGTCCAAATGGATGATTTCTATTAATTTGACCGTTAGTTGACTCAATAAATTGATTTTGACAAATTTTAAAAGGGGTAAAATAGTAATTTTGAATTAAAATAAAAAAAAAAACTAAAGGAAACAAAGAAAACAAAATCATTCCCCTCCCCGGCCCGGCCCGGCCCGCCCATCCCAAAATCAAAACTGTCGGCACCACCACACCCACTTCCGCCACCGTCCTTCAGCCACCATTCTACACCCTTCGTTCTTTAAAATATCCCATCTTATATGTACACTCGTTCCAATCTATACATACAATGCACTCTACATCATCCTCTAAACCCTAATTTTATTTCTCCCCAAATGATTCTAGTGATTCCAAATTCCTAAGCCCTAACACTAGAAAATTACATGCGTAGATATAGCTTTGGTAGAGATGGATTCACAGGTGAACAATCTATACGAAAATGCGTTGCAGCCGAACCCGGACAACGACGCCTACACTTTCCTTGAATTCAACACGCAAGGGGAGGACTTCAATTACCCAGAATTCCAAGAGCTCTCGCAGCCCATTCAATCCCCCTCTCTATGGCCAACTCCCTCCGATTCGGTTGCTATTTCTGAGACCAACGATCACTAGTCGTCATCTGATGCCTCTCCCTCAACTAAAGTTCGCGGCGGCGGAGTTGGTTCGAGTAGTAATAATAATAATAATAATGTTAGTGGCAGTGGTGTTAATAATAAGAAGGGTGTGGTGGAGGCCGTGGCAGCAGGGATGAGTGGGCTGAATCTCAAGGAGACTGGTGATGATGATGGGTTTGAGTATGGCCGTGATTTAGGCTCCATTTTTGGGTGTCAAACGTGATTTTCTTCATTTGTGATTTACGGTGGCGATGGTGGTAAGAGGAGACGGTGGTGGTGGTGGTGCCAGCAACGTGCCGATACTGTTGATGCCGGGCATGAAGGAGAAACTGATTGCAATTTTCCCTTTTTTATTTGTTTGTTTGGTTTTTTGTTTAATTATTTAATTAGGAAAGTTCAAAGTTACCATTATACTCCCTTTAAAATTGGTCAAAGTTATTTTATTGAGTCAACTAACAATCAAACTAACAGAAATCGTCTATTTGGACCCCAGGTACAAATTTTTAAAAGGTTTGGGACTGTGGATGGCACAACGCCACAACGTGAAGGTTAAGGTAAAGTCTGTAAAAAAGTGAAAGGTTTAGGATCGCTGCTGCAATTATCCCTAAAATGTATTTTGACCAAATTTAAAGAGGGCAAAATAGTAAATTCAACATTTTCCACATAAAACAATTACAATAATTAAAAGGGAGATTTTCACTAATGTCACTAAATTTGAAAATATACAAAAAATTTGTATGTGCACTCATTTGTTCAAAAATGTCACTTTTTTGAATTGAAAGGTCCAAATTATCCTTGGATCACCTTTGTAAGAGCAATTAATGTTCGATTGGAATGTCATTAATGATTTGATTTGATGATTAAATTTTGATGATTTTATTCATTGTATAT